CATGACTAATCGTGACTGTCACACTTGTAAAGGTAGAAGTTTTGTAACAAAAAAAGGGGAGTGGTTAATCTTACAGTCTAGAAACAGAGGACCCTAGGACCATCAGGAGAGGAACGCACAAATAGAATGCGGGACCTTATCCAGATAAGCACCAGCACCAGAGATGGAGGCAGAGATGGGGGCATGGAGAGGGGGAGCGGCTAAGGACTCTAGATTCATGGACTAAGAAGAGAAGGACTAAGAGCTGGTGGCCAGGAGCAGACTTGCAGAATGTGCCCTTTGGAGATGTAAATTATTATATATGCCTGAGTGGGTTTTTTGGTTTGGGTGTTTTTTAAAAAGCTAAAGTGGATAGACTGAAATGCTTTTAACTGATGGTATATGGAGGGGAGTATAATCAATGCAATAAAACAAGTTATATGAATTGCTGAATGTGAAACTGATGATGTGCCCTGTAAACTTTCACTCAATCCACAATAAAAACCTTAAATTAAAAAAAAAACTGGTTGTACATTCTTTTCTGTCAATTTCCTCACACGCACAGTCCTTACCTTTGCAAATTCTGGAGGTGGACTTTTCCCTCTACAAAGGTTAGACAAAGCCCAGACTGCATTCCGAGTCATGGTTAGGCGGTTTTGCTTTGAAAATAACCTACAAGCATGATGGTACAATTGTAAATCATATAATGAACATTAATTCTCTGATTGCATAGGAAAAATACTAAGCTGCTTAATGTTACTGAATAAAGAGTAATAATTTCCCCCAGAATAATAAAACACCATCAATTTCTAGTGCCACTAATTTAAGCTTTTGGCATTTGAAATGAGACAGGGAGCTTGAAGAAATGATCTGAGCAAGTTAAGAAAATATCTGGAGCGAAAAATAACTCTAGTAAAGCCAAAATTATTTCCAAAGATGTACTGCTTTCTGAGAAACTTCATTTTACTCCAAAAACAAAGCAAAAGGAAAGAAAACGGCACTTACTGCAACAGAGGAGGAAGGATATTGCAATCTAAAACATAGTCCCTGCACATGGTACTATCTCCAGCAATGTTGCCAAGAGCCCAGACAGCCTGTGAAAGAATTCTTCATTAATGACAGTTTTATAGTTTAACTACCTCATAAATCTTTCAAAATAAATTTTAAAAGATGCCAACACACCACACTAACTCTTTATAAAATTATATAGTAGCAAATCATCATATTGCACATAAACATTAACACCTCTGAGTTTGCTGATCTGAGAGTGAAACAAAAAAACACTTGTGTGATATGTCAATTATATCTCAAAAGGATACCCAAAAAAAAATTTTTATTTAACATTGTTTTATATTTATAAATTTGATAAAGGTGGCAGTAATAAGAAATCCACGTTTTCTGTCTTTTTCTGCACAAAAGTTGTGAAAACCAGCTACTTCACTTAAAACTAAAGACTATTACAAGAATTGCTTAACCATTAACCTAGTGCCATTCTGAGGTCCTGGTGTGGTGTGGGTTCATGAACCAAGACTGCAAAGTTGTTTCAACTGCAAGGTCAGCGGTTCAAGCTCACCAGCCGCTCCTTGGAAACCCTATACAGGGTCACTATGGGTCGGAACCAACTTGACTGCACTTAACAACAACAATGGCATCAATTCTAACCATAAAGACTCTGTGTCCAGAGTAGAATTGCTCCTTAGGGTTTCCAAAACTGTAAATATTTACCATGAAGAGCTGGTTGGTGGATCTGAATGAATCTGAGTGACCAAGCATGCAGTTAGCAGCCCAGTATGCCAGTTGTTGTTGTTGTTAAGTGCCATCGAGTCGGTTCCGACCCATAGCGACCCTGTACAGGGTTTCCGAGGGTGTAAATCCTTACGGGAGTAGAAAGCCTCATCTTTCTCCCGCGGAGCGGCTGGTAGTTTCGAACCGCTGACCTTAAGGCTCGCAGCCCGATTCGTAACCACTACGCTACCAGAGCTTAGGGCTCCTAAAAAGGTGTTGGATTTGAAAATTTCAGAGTTGGAAGGGAAAAAATGGTCATATGTGTCTAGGATAAATTTTGCTTATATTCTCTGTTAAACTTACTACATCTATGTTTAGATTTCTAGAATACTCCCTGAATGTAGGACCAAAGAGAGAAATTCTATTCTTTCACCTGTTTTTTTGTTTAATTTTTTACCTGCTCCTGGACATCTTCAAACTCTGAGCTGAGCAACTCTATGAAGATGGGTACAGCTCCTGCCTGAATCACAATCCGAGTCTGAAGAGAATTCCCTGAAGCAATATTTGTCAGAACCCACGCTGATTCAAACTATAAAAAATAAAAAAGTTTTCATTAAAATTTATTCGCTTCTTTACTTTTAACAACAAAAATTTCTGTCCATGAAGAAAATAAATTATTAGCATTATCAGTTGAATATAATCAAACATCAATTTTTAAAGAATTCCCAGAAGAAATACCCTAATCTAAAGGAATGCTCAGGGTGACTGAAATTTCACATCAAGGTAGAGCTTAGAGGTAAAATTCAACCATAAAATGAAAAGTGGAAACATTTTATGTGATGATATAAAATGACCTCCAAAGACATGAATGAAAGTAAAAATGCAAAATACTATACATTAATATGTATCACTGTATTTTCAACAAGGGTTAAAAAGAAGTATACACATTAAAAGTAACTATCTGTCTTCATGGAAGGAACACGGGTAGGAAAGAAGCTATTTTCTGTAAAGCCTACTGTACCACATTTATGACCTAATACAAAAATAAAATTAAAGCTAAAGAGAGTTAATAAGCATACAGTTAATAGAAACAGCAACTTTAGAGCACAAGAGCTTCCAATCAACAAGACAGCTCCAAACCAAAGTACAGTGGTGAGATTTTAGTTAAGAGCATTTTTAATAGGGAGGATACTGAGGGTAGACTAAGTGAAAGCTGATATAGCATAGTATTATGTTGTGGTTGTTGTGTGCCGTGGAGTCGGTTCCGACTCATAGAGACCCTGCACAGGGTTTCCAAGGCTGTCAATCTTTACGGGAGCAGAAAGCCTCATCTTTCTCCTGCGGAACAGCTGGTAGTTTCAAACTGATGACCCTGAGGTTAGCAGCCCGATTCGTAACCACTATACTACCAGAGCTCCTTAGCATAGCATGATAGCACTGGTAAACAGAAGATATGAAGGGAATCAAAGCTAACAAGAAATACAGTCTATTATTAATTCTATATATCTCTTCAGCAACCTAACTTTCTAAGTTAATGCTGAAAAACACTGAGACCAAGAATAAACTCCTACATTTCTATTTAGATACGGTTTCTTACTTGACCCTTTTCCTTTCCCCTTTCTGTCTCAAATTTAAGTCTTTAATGAAATTAATATGCAGAAAGTCATTCACTGGTTTGTCCTTTAAATGAGATCAATAAAAAGTCATCAAAAGATGTAGCTGTGACTATTGTAAACTTTGAATCAATTAAAGGACAACTGTCATATGGAAAACTTAAATCATCAGTCACTGGGGGGGTAGAGTAGGATAAAAAAAAAAAAGGAAAGGCAATTTGAGTGACACAATCCAAAGCTTTCTAAATGATAGCAAATTTATAGCAGAAGACTCTTAAAAAAGAAATGTTCAAGGAAACCTATAAACGTGACATGTGAGTAGATGAAGTAAGAGTAATTAAGTTTGGTAGCTTAATTTGATACTAATCTTACAGCAGCAGGGAAGTCCAAACTAAACACCAGAGTCAAAAGATACATATTTTCCCTTCTGGTAATTTGTAAAGTTTAGGAGACATGTAGATAAAACATTGAATACCATAAAGTCCCAATGTACTGGAACCAACTTAACAGCACTTAACAATAATCATGAAGTAAAATATCACATATTATTTCTGTAATTAAATTACTACTGAAATCAATGCTCAAGCATTTAACTAAAACTTTACATTTGTCAAGTACTTTAAATATCTTAAAACATTATTTACACTTGTTCAAGTAATCCTCATAACAAGCCAGAGAAGTATGATGTCTGGCCTTTCTAGGAAAAGAGGAAGCCTGTTTAGACAGAGAGATCCAATAATTTGACTGAATCAAGGAATGTTTCATAGACAAAGAAGTTAACTACATTACTAGCTTCCTACTGTGCTATGAAGCCCAGCTGGTCCTCTCTGAAATACACCTTACGTAACACTGGCCTAGGAATCTTTCATTTGCTTGCAGTTTGGTACCCAGGACAAGAAATTTCAAATAGCTGCATGACAGATCATTTAGTGAATGGAAAAAGAAAATTCACCTGAAACATGGTTTCTTTCGCTTACTAGGAAAATTAATTAGTTAGGAAAACAGATCCATATGATGTGAATTAAAAAAGCAAACTGCCCTATCAGAAGGTGTGCTCAAGAGCTTACCTTCAAGCAAACATTATTTTATTATGCTTTGCAGATACATTTTTTTTGTTGCGGTTTTTAAACAAATTGAAGCTTTATAGCAACCCTGCGCCATGCAATTCTTCATGTACCATTTTTCTGACAGTTTATACTCACTTTGTATCTTTGTGTCATGTTTTGGTCATTCTCACAGTATCTAAGGCTTTTTCATAAAGCATACTTGATAGACTATCACTTTACTTAAACATAATTTTTTAAGTACTGAGGAAACACACAAAAAAATTCACGTGAATTGCTTTATTGAGATACTATTAGTTTTTGGAACTGAACCCACAGTACGTCTGAGGTATAAATAGTCATCAAATGCAGAGATGAATCAAAGAAATGAAAACTGTGACGAAAAGCAGTCAGAAAGAACAAACAATATCAGCACACATACCTACCTATCTCAAAGAAAAAAAGTGTTACACTTTTGATGCTAGCACCCAACCCCTGCCTCCAAAACCAAACCTAGATACGGAGGGTATTTTAAAGAGTTATCAGTGAGACAAAATTACTGAGAATGATAACTGTTGTCCAAGATGGAACTGTTACCTGTCTCATGAACTTTAGCATAAAAGGTCTCAGAGAAAATGAAAGGCATTCCTGAAGCCATTCAAGTGAATAAAATGAAGCAGCAAAATAGAAAACAATAAAATTAATGGTTAGAAAAAAATGAAGAATAAGTGAGTAACAGCCTAAACATAAATGAAAGAAAAATGGAAATCAGGGTATCTCAGAGTAACAAAGAATGTGCCAGAGTTATTTTTATCACTAAGAAGTATTGACACTACTCTGAACACAAAGAAGAATCAAGACCTCCCTCACTTGATAAAAATGAAAATCATAAAGTTGTTTAGCTATTACCAGAGTGAAAAGTAGATGAATAATTATACTCAAAGGATCACTGAGAACACCATCATATTCATGCAAAAATAAAAGTGTTAAAATATACACACTCGACAGTTGATTACTTCAGTGTTTTCACTTTGCAAAAATTGAGTAAGCTATAATCTACTTTTGTATGTGTGCTATGTACACATGCACCAGTATGAATGAGTGAGCATATGTATTGCCCCAGTGACTGTAGGTCGCTATTAATGTTGAAGAAGCAACTAAAAATATATTTAACATATTAAATATTTATTTACCATCTATCAAATGTATTTAAAAATTGATTGCACCTGCCTTTCATCATGGACTATACTTTCAATGAGTTTTATAACTAAAAAAAAAAAAAAGCTTCAGTGCTAGCTAGCTCTGGCAGCACATATACTAAAACTGGAATGATACAAAGAAGATTAGCATGCCTTCTGCACGAGAAATGACATGCAAATTCATGAAGCGGTCCATAGTTTCTATGGAGGGGAATGTAATGATTGACATGAAACAAAGTGTATGATTTGTTCAATGTAAAGCTTCTCTTCACTTAATTCACAACAAAAAGCTTTAAAACAAAAACAAAAAACTTCAGCCTTAGCTCCCAGAATAAAATTTAACATGAAAGAGAGTTATGAAATGGAAAGCCCATGATTGATGACAAAAACTATTTCATAAAGTTTTAACAGAAACAGTAAGAAAACGAGATTTATGTAAGTAGCCATGAGACTCAAGAGAAAATCAGTAAATGAAGAAATGCAAAAGTCTAAGAAATGGTATCAGCTGAAGAAATCAATGGTTGCCAAAATTAATTTATTAACTCTTATTTTAAGCTATTCTATCTTAGTCTTCCAAGCATGGCATCATGCAAGGAACAACCTGTCACGCAGTTTTGATTGCTTACAAATTTTAATTCTACTATTATTTTCATTGTCCAGAACTTGCTAGTAAAACTACAACTAAGAAATCCTGGTGTGGTGCTGTAGGATGAGCACTAGACTGCGAACCACAAGGACGGCAGTTCAAACCCACCAGCCACTTCTCAGAAACCCTATACAGTGTCACTATGAGTGAGAACATATTCGACGGCACTTAACAACAACAAAAAATCTAAAGGGCACAGAAAGATTTGATGTTTTTTTCTCTCCTCTGTCTCAGTCTCTACCTTCTGGTGCTCAGTTCCTTAAATAAGGAAAATGAGAATCCAAAGCTGAAGTACTTCTGACCTCCTATCAAGTTTCCCACTCCAGGTTGAGGTACGCCTGGTTCCCTTTCTCCATTTGGATCAGGACTCTGTTGCTGGCCATTTTGCCCGTTCCACTCTGGTTCTAGCAAATGCCAGGCTCACCTGGAGAGCAAGTGAAAAGAGAGGCTCACATCAGAAAAATAAACCCAGATAGCAAACTCTGCAGAGAACAGTGTCTGAGTCATCGGAGCAACCTTCCAAGAAAGGTGCAGGGCTCAATGGTGATGGGAAAAGATGTATGAAGATGAAGGCTTACTGCAGTTTATCTTATTAAGCTTTTAGAGGGGTAAGAAAGGCAAGAAATGGTCAACTAAGTCAACTTAATTCAAATTTACAACTTTAATAGGAAGTCTCTGTGTAATGTTTGGAACTAGGAAGTTAACTTACTTGTTTCTGGCTATTTTTATAAGTTCTTTTAAGATGGTTTTAGAATGCAAAATTTCAGCACTGCAAAGGACAGTACAAAGATGTTGGGCCTGGACTAAAGTACCAAGTAAAGTCAGCCCAACAAACATACCATAAGGCAGACCAGTCTCATATCAAGGGCAAGTATATGTCTGAGATTTAGATGCTTTTCATTAAGTGGCATCATCATTTGCTTCCACAACCCCATATTTCATCCATGTTTGTTTCCAGTTTGAAGGCAAGTGAGTACCCAAGTAGTACTGTCCAAAGCAGGTTCTGGTTTGAGGCACCACACCAATTTGGAGATAAGGTAAGTCAGAAAGGAAGTGGAGACACCCTTCATAAGAATTCATAGTTTTTTAGCTATAGAATGAAGGGTTAAGTTTGTTCACAGGATTTATTGGCGAGTTGAGTCATCTAATTTCCTAGATATCAAATATTGAAACTCTCTTTCTAGAAGAGAAATGGTAAAAGATCTATTCCAAAATTTCTACTAAGCAGCTTACATCCTAGTGCTCTCCCAAAAAAACAGAAGCAGTCCCTTCCAGCTTCCCAGAAAACATTAATTATTTGAGAAAGTATCAGAGCATGAAGCCCGGTGCCTCTAAGGAGTCCCTCAGTATTCTTGCTCCTCCAGTTTTTGGGGTGGCCAAAGTTACCCATGAGTCATGCTGGAGAGAGAACGCCATACTGTGCTTTTATGTGCACAGAAGAAAAGCTGGAGATGACAACCTTTAAGTAATAAATAGGTTGATTATTTCTCAGAATGAAGTACAACACATCTATTAACGTCATCTGCCAAGCTAGAAGGAATCGTTTCTCAATTCTTCAGTTAATTACTAGCTTGTACAAGGTTGAAATCTGGAAATTTAGATATAAATAAATCTGAGGTGTTCATCTTCAGATGTGCTAAAATATAAACTCCAGATTAAAGTACTGAATTAAATAATGCAGAATTTACATGGTGTTAGCCATTAGAGGGCAGTATCCAATATAGAACACACTAAGTCTTTGAGGAGTGGTGGAGGATGCAGACGTCAAGGAAAGAGCCTTTTTTTAGATTTGGGAAGTGATACCATCTTCCTTCGATCCTTAAGGATCCAAACCTCTGCAACCACCTCTCAAAGAGTGCTAGATTCGGAAATAAATTCAGTATCTCTCTCTCTTTGGCTACTCTCATTCCCTGAGTTAAGATAGAAGCATGTTTCAGCATGAACAAAGTGATAGTTTTTCCTACCTCCCTCCTCTTCCTACAAAGCATTTGAAATAATAAACTGCAGTAAGGCTCCTCATTTGGTTCCTCTGGTTCTCTTGGAAGGTTGCTTGGGGGTTCAGACTCTGTTCTCTGCAGTGTTGGTTGTCTGGATTTCCTTTTTTTTCTCCTGAGAAGTCTCTCTTCTCTTGCTCTCTAGGTGAACCTGATATTTTTCAGGTGTCTGGCGATCCTGGCCTTAAACAGGGCCCAGAATTGTAATCCAGAAGGCAGCTAGCAAAACAGAATCTTAATTCAAATGAACTTGGAAGTCAGTATATATCAAACTGGAGAAGAAAAATTGATGGGACACGAAGTACTCTACCTTTTCTGGATTTCTTGTTTTTCCTCTCGAAGGAACTCATCACTGCAACAAAGAAGGTAAAAGGATGGGAGGAAAGGAGAGAAATATCATGACAAAGCATCAAGTCTTATGAATTCTCTACAATGTTCTGGACAGTAAGAAATCTTGGGGTGAGGATTGTCATTTACAAAAATACCCCAGATCTCAATCATGGATGGCATCAGTCTTAGGCAGTGTTGTGATTTTTAGGACTATCTTGTCATTACCAAATATTTACTTGGGGTTAAAAAAAACAAAACAAAACAAAAAACCACTCTGATCTGTTTGGACACCTAACCAATTTTTATAATTTTATCATTGCCCTTTAGATTTGAACCTATAAGTGGGAATTGAGGGATCACTGTATTTGTTAAGAACAGTACTTATATTGATTCCATTGGTTATAGCAAGAAAATCTAGACACTAAAACTCCACTTGTTTACAAAAATCCAACTTTAAGAGAAACAACAGTATTTTTTAAATCTTTATAGATAACTCCCAAGGAAGAATCAATAAAAACAGTTGTTTTTAACTATGAAAATTATTCAATCCAAAGTTGTAGGATTTCTTCTTAGAGCTTCTATAGATAGCATCATATTTATATACTAAATTAGCATAGCAGAATGAATACACATTCTTGACAAGTCTATCTTATCATCACCTTAAGGAAAGGGGATAAGAATAAATAAATAGAAGCAGTCTTGGAGATTAATGCCTCGTTGATGTAGCTCTTGTTACATAAGCCTAAAACAGCCAACAAGTAGAATGTAAAAATCCCTCAACAGCAAACATTATGTAGCCCTCCACATGAGGAGCTCTTATCTATGTCTCTTTTACTGCACGCACACTGCTCAATTATATAAATATTATCCACAATCAACATAACACAACTTTTTAAAGTTATTTATAATGACAAGAATTGTAAAGACATAAAAGCAGCTTCCAACTGGTTGTCAAGATATCATTGTTTTAAAAAAATAACATTTCATATAAACTAAAATTGGTTTAAAAAAAAATTATGTACAGAACATAAGCTTGGAATGAGAAATAAGGTATAAGACAAGAAATAGAAATGTCTCGCACCTGCAGTGTACAATTCTCTTTTCGTTTGAGAAACTCCACAAACCTGGCCACGACTCCTGGTGTACTGATCACTTCATCAATAGGAGGATTAGGCTCTATTTCCCCAGAAAACAAAAGAAGAGAACGTTTTTTTTATTATTTCAATATAAGGCCTCTATAACTCAAAATTAATTCCTACTATCTTTTCTTCTATGTCAGAAATACACAAAATAATGTAGAATTGAAACTGAGTTCAGTTATTTTAAGACAAAGATAGTTGGAAAGATATTACCAAGAAGCTAAGCCTTGGCATAGATATTAAGCTAAGGGGAAATTCTTAAAATTTAAAAAGTGGGAGAAGTGTCATCCAAGTCAACCACTGTTAGTGTTCTGTTATACTCCCCTCTAGCACTTGTTCTGTGCATTAGCTTTCAAGTCTGTCTGCTTTGTTTAGCATCAATGGGCTGCATAAACTGCAGTAAGAGATTCTGTGTGTACTTGAAGGATTAACATTTTTCGGAGCCAGAAAGAATTCACTAAGGATGACATGCAAAATTATCATCTCATTTTCACTTACAATAATCGTATAAATAAAATTATTCAGTAAAAACTTGCTGGGCAATTAGAAAATAGCATAAATAATTAGTATGCTAATTTCAGCAGGAGCTTAGCAAAGTTTTTATGACATTCATGTGGCAATGTCAGAGAAATGGTGGCTGGATACAGTTCTATAAGAGACTTTTTTTTTAATGTTTTATTATGAATTATGTGATAGTTTACAAGGGAGAACATTAGTTTTACATTCATCTTATCGTATATCGTTTCACTGTCATGATTACAATCCCCTCCATGCATCATCAACCAACCAAAGGGTTTACACTACAAGCCTGCCCCCAGTCATCAGCACACAGCCCCTCTCCCTCTCTCTGTCTAGTCCCCAGCTGCTCAATCTCTCTACATCATCGTCTCTGCCTCCATCTCAGGCATCACTGCTTCTCTGGGTAGGGTCCTGCTCTCCGCTCTTCTCCCTTGATGGTCCCAGGGACCTCTGCTCCTAGATTGAAAAGTTAATCACTCCCTTCCTTGCTACAAAACGTCTATCTTTACATTCCCAACCCTCACAAGCAGTCATGATAACAATTATTCACTACTGTATCACAAGAGACCCGTCTGCATTTCATTTCATCAGCCCCATCTAGACAGATTGGATACTACTCAGTGTAGATTCTACCTTACTTCATGCCCTCTGAATCTAGGTTCCCTCTTGAAAGCTTGTAAGCCAGTCACTTCCTGCCTTTGTAGCCCCCCTATTTTGAATAGCCAACGTCCAAGTTGCCCATCACTGTCTACTCTGTGTATGCAGGGGTGGGAATGATCCTTGCTGTAAGGGTTTGTTCCCTCTTTGAGCTCTGCATCCATAGGTGTAGGTCAAGTTCATCAAATTGTATCAGATTACTCTTTTTTCCTTCCTTCTTTCTTTCTCTGGTTGAGCTCTGATCATCCAGTCATTCAAGCCAGGTCAAGTGGGTATTATCTGGAAGTTTGGGTGTTCTTGTGCATATGCCCTCTCTTCTTATCAGCTGGATGCTTCACTCTCCACTCTAGTCCTCTGTGGCTATGTCACTGACTCTGGGTCCAAGAGTCCCCAGGTCTTGCCACACTGCTGGCCATCCAGGTCTTCACCTGGGTTCACAGGAGCCTATTAAACATTGTAGGGCTTAGCTTGCAGCTTCATTGCTGTTTTTCCCTTCACTTCCCCTTATCGGTGACGAGCGCAGTCACCAATCAGAGCGTGCATTCCCACTGAGTCTTAGTCTTGGAAGGGGGTTTACACTGAGGGGCCTGACACTTGCCTTGATGTATCCTGGGCAAGCAACGTGCTTGTTCTTGTAGTAACAGTCAGTCTGCCTATATTGTTTTGTATTTTTCCTGTAGGTCTTTCTTTCAAGAAGTACCTTCTGTTCTTCTAGCCGCTCCAGGCTGGTCTGCAGGCTGGTCTGCTCGTCCTTTCAAGTGGAAATTTCCCGTCTCTGAATATCTGGATGTGGTTCAGGCTTCCACCTATAGTCTCATGTAATGCAGAGGCTCCGCAGGAAGCCTCCTTCACTGGGCACGTTGTAGCCCCATTTTAGGTATTCCAATCAGTTATAGGCAGAAGACAGACTTACAAGCTTTCTATGGTGATGTTTTTGGCTATTCCTTTCTCTCCCCCCTCCAGTGTCTATTTTATAATATAATGCACGGAAAACCAAGATTCAAAAGACAGCCAAGCATCTTGACATTGTTATTGTTGTTAAGTGCTGTCGAGTCAGTTCTGACCCATAGCGACCCTGAACAGGGTTTCTGAGGCTGTAAATCTTTATAGGAGCAGAACGCCTCATCTTTCTCCCGTGGAGCAGCTGGTAGTTTCGAACTGCTCACCTTTCAATTCACAGCCCGATTCGTAACCACTATGGTACCAGAGCTCCTTAACATTATTCCCTCCTTTTCCCCCTTCCAACCATGTCCCAATCTCTGTGTCCCAGAGCCCTGTTGTTCCAAGGTTGTGCATACATCATTATTTACCTCTGTCCCACTTAGCCCATGCAAACCTGTCTAATTGTTCTCCCATCTGCTTTGTTCTTCCATTCCCCTCTCCCTTTTGTATATTGCCCCCCTCCCCATGTAAGAGACATTTTTAGCCAAAATAATAATCATATTCCATTCTACATTAATAATGAAAAATATAAAGCAGGTAGTTCCCCTGCCCACCAAGAAATCTAATACTTCATGTTCTAAGGCAAACTGCATACATTTAAATCACAATCTGATCTTTCAAGTGATACGTTTTAAAAAGGGTAGAAATTTCTCAGTTTGAATTAACTTGAGATTTTGACAACTATTCTTCTTACTATAATGTACTTCATAAGATGATAGCTCATAAACAACATGGTCTTGGTAAGATCTTACAAATACATAAATTCAGATGTTAGGCATGACTAATAATTATGTTTATCTATATGTGTCCTTTCTGATGAGAGGCATATGGCAAAATAATCTACAGTATGAAAAACAGACATGAGAAAGTAGTATTTTGTAAATATATTTTTTAAAATCCATTAAAAGTAAGCAGAGCTCACCTTTTGAAAGCAGTTTTCTGAATTTCTGTGTTGCCGAAAGCTGTTGTTCTGGGCTATTGGAAAATATCATTTCAATCATATCAGAAGTAATGACACCACCCTGGGATCAAAGAAAAAGCAAATATAGTAAAATACTAGCCTTTATTCAGAAGAAAACAAAGATAATATAATGCTGCCAAGTTATTAACTAAATTTTATTTTTCTAGAAGTATGACACAAAGGTAAGAAAATCTTTACATAAAGAAATGTATGAAATTATAATAATGTACTGGGTGAGAATATATTACACCCGAATGATTTCAAATTCTTTGTCGTTAAAAAGCTCATAACAGTGATAAAATAATATAAGTAAATAAAACAAAGGGCTTATTATCATGTTCGGAAACTTAAGTTCTAAAACAATCAATAAACAAGTAACAACAACAAAAAAAAAAACCCAACAACAATGACAAAAAATAAAGACATATACAATAACAAAGACTATATTAATAACACTGAGTGGCTACTAATTTGCTACCCCTGCTAGAGAGAAAGAACTTGATTAAACGTCAGCATAGTGATCCTGCTTGGTCACCTTAGAGCAGGTGGTGGGCCGGCAACATCGGGCGCATGGGGTCCCCAGCTGATCTCCTCCCTCCCCGTCTTCCTTGGATGGCGGCTGTTTATGCTGGACGTGTGGTGTGGCCAGAGATAGGTAAGGATCACGTGGAACCTCGGCTACTTA